AAATATCAAGGGTGATTTTTCTAAATTGATTCTTAAATCAGACTAGTCTTAAAGGCACAGATGACTCTGCCTCCAGTAGTAAAGAAGGTGCTGTGAATCCATGGTGTGAGGTGGCAATATTAATATGCAAAGTATCACCACCAATAGATCAAGCATTGCTAAGAAGCAAGTCACTGGGTGATCGCATGTTTGATACTTTTCTACAATTTTGTCAGAATGAGAAGTTTAGAGAAGCTGGTTGGTTGGTCCCACTTTCACTAGACAAAGTGGTGAAAGAGAGGAGCTCAGGGCTTCAGAGTCACAGCTCAAGCGCTGCATAAAAGAACTCAAAGTTGTCACTTGTACCCTGAAAGACTTATTTCTTGTAATAACAGAGCTGATATTGCTGAAAACCAAAGCCAGAGTCTTATCGTAAGAGTGCCTGAATTACAACATTAATTGAATCAACTTCAAATGGTGTCCGACATTAACATGAAGGCATTGATTGGGAAGAAATGGGATCCTGAAACTTGGGATGGGGACATATGGCAAATAATCAGGAAGCTGGGTACACTGAGTCCCCAAATTCCATTGAATCGTTCCTGCCAACAACCAGCCCTCTTACTCCCTCATCTGAAGACATCACTCCGTCTTTGTCTGCTAAGCCATCCTCCCCCAGTAAAACCACTTAGAGTGACTACTCATTGGAGAAAAGGAAATAATCAGAATTTTAGGGGATTACTGGATACTGGTTCTGAACTGACACTAATTCCAGGAGAGCCAAAATGTCATCATGGCCCACCAGTCAGAGTAGGGGGTATTGAGTCTTAGCTCAGGTTCATTCCACAGTGGGTCCTCAAACCTATTCTGTAGTGATTTCCCCAGTTCCAGAATGCATAATTGGAATAATATACTCAGCAACTGTAAGAACTCCCACATTGGATCCCTGACAAGTGGAGTAAGGGCTATTATGGCAGGAAAAGCCAAGTGGAAGCCTTAGAACTGCCTCTACCTAGGAAAATAGTAAACCAAAAGCAATACTACATTCCTGGGTGGATTGTGCAGATTACTGCCACCATCAAGGTCTTGAAGGATGCAGGGGTGGTGTTTTTCACCACATCCCCATTCATCTCTCCCATTTGCCCTGTGCAAAAAACAGATGGATCTTAGAGAATGACAGTGGATTATCGTAAACTTAACCAGGTGATGATTCCAACTGCAGCTGCTGTTCTAGATATGGTTTCATTGCTTGAGCAAATTAACACATCTCCTAGTACCTTGTATACACCTACTGATATGGCCAATGCTATCATTCCGGTTTCAAAGGACCACCAGAAGTACTGTGCCTTAAGCTAGCAAAGCCAGCAATACACCCTCACTGTCCAACCTCAGAGGTATATCAACTCTCCAGCCCTAGGCCATAATTTAGTCTGCAAGGACCTTGATAACCTTTCCCTTCCATAAGACATCACACTGGTCCATTACTTTGATGACATTAGTTTATTGGACCTAGTAATGAGGAAGTGTCAATCACTCTGGACTTACTGGTAAAGAATCTGCATGCTAAAACAAACAAAAAAGAACCAAACCCATTGCCGTCGAGTCAATTCTGACTCATAGTAATCCCATAGGAAAGAGGAGAACTTCCCCAGAGGGCTTCCAAGGAGTAGCTGGTGTATTTGAACTGACGACCTTTTGGTTAGCAGCCAAATGCCTAACCACAACACCACCAGGGCTCCATACATATACACATACTCTTCACTGGTTTTGCTTCTCTAGAGAACCCAGCCTAACACACTTGGTAATGCTGGTAATAGGGGAGGGATGTTGCCAGATTTTTGCTTTAAAATCTTCTCTGCGACTGCATGGAAGAAAATAAAGCAGAGCAAGGGAATTACTGGCAGTAACCCAGGCAGGACACAACTGTAGCCTAAACTGCAGTAGTGGCAATGTAGAGACTGGATATAAAGGGTCAGATAGGAAAGATGTCAAAGTTAGAATCAACGAAATTTTCCCAATTGTTCGTAATGGCAGAATCATCCCGAGAATCATCCCCAGAAATGGCAGAATTTCTTGTCTCCCCATCCCTCGCCCCTTCCACACAGGATTTCTGCCTCAAATCTTTCCTACTGAACTATTTAGGGAAAGATGGAGGACAACGTGTGCCCACTTACTTTTTACTCCCTATTTTTCTAACTTCTCCCTTCTTTTTTTCCTTCTAGTCATGTTGTATTGGGTACTTTCAAGTCTATTCTCACTCATAGCTATCATATAGGACAGAGTAGAACTGCCCCATAGGTTTTCTGAGGCTGTTACCTTTAAGGAAGCAGATTGCCACATCTTTCTCGCATGCAGCAGCTGGTGGGTTTAAACTGCAGGGTTAGCATCCGAGTGCTTAACCACCGTGCCACCAGAGCTCCTTTCCTTCCTTCTAGTCATATGTATATCTTACCCTCTAGCAAGAAAACAAAGGAAGTTTTTTCTGCTTCACTCATTTTTTTGGAGAAATTAGCATAGGAATCTTAACTGAACCTTGGGAGTGAATGACCCAAGAAAAGAGACTGGAGAAATGAAAGTAGATGGCCTAGAATACAACTCCAGGGAAAACACCAACAAGTAAAGCATAGAAGCAAAAGAACACAGAAAGGAGAAGTTCTAGGAAAAAAAAAAAGGGAGTTTTATGTTATAGACATTTTGTGTATATATATATCCGAAAACCCCACTGCCGTTGAGTCGATTCTGACTCATAGCGACCCTACAGGACACAGTAGAACTGTCCCATAGGGTTTCCAAGGAGTACCTGGTGGATTCGAACTGCCGACCTTTTGGTTAGCAGCCATAGCTCTTAACCACTACATCACCAGAGTTTTCATATATATATGTATTTTTAGTGTAAATATACACAACCAAACAAACACCCGGTCCACAGTTTTTACAGGTGTAGTTCAATGACAAAGGTTATATACTTCACATTGTATCACCATTCTATCTCTACCCATATTGTTCACCACCATTAGCTTAGACTTTCTGCCCCTTAAAGTTCTCATCTGTGCTTTAGGGTTACTGTTGCCAATTCGATCTCATATAGATAATTCTTTAAAAGAGCAAAATGCTCAAACATTCTTTATTATTTGAGCTAAACTGCTGTTTAGTTTAAAAATGCTTTCATGGGACAGTTTCCGTTCAAGGTTTAAAAACTGATTCCAGGCAAAAAATATATTTGTTAAGTGAATGACCATAGAAATTTCTTTAACATCTGGGAATTGGAAAACCAAACTAGAGCAGATCATAATTTAATAATCATAAATTTAGGTAGAATCTTGTCAGGAAGTCTTAATAAATTTCTGAGACTTACTTTACCTTCACAGATACTTTAGATACCTTATATCATGAAGAAGCATACCTATAAAAATGAAATTTTGAAAGCAGATATTCAAAGTTTTACACAAGTACTTAAAATTTTCACAAATTTGGTTGCATTGTATCATAAAAAATTTGTTGTAATTCTGTAAAACATATGAGGTACCCCTTCACAAAGTATGTCATAAGGATTTATACTTTAAATAATTAAAAAACAAAAAACTAAGGGACAAGACAGGGTTGTATTTATCTCTGTTCTAAAGTGTATTTTTAAAATAAAAAGATGTACACAGACTACTATATTTTATATTTTCTTTTACCAAACAAATTGCTAAGTCATTGTTCATAAGACATCTCTTATCTCTGAAAGGAAAGAGAGCCTTCTGGCTCTGGCTGAAGTCACTTTTCCACAATATAGCTGTTATAACCTATTTCTTACCTCCGTTTCCCATCAAAATCAGCAATGACTATTCTAAAATTAATTTATAGTTCCTTCTTCTCCACTTTCTGTTTCCAATTTTGTGTAAGAACTTTTAAAAAGGAATAAAGTGCTGCAAGTTTCTTAGGACTATTCACAATACCTCAGGTATAGAATGGGAAGACATGGAGCCATAAATATATATTACAGGTTCTGTGGAACAGCTTTTCAAAATTAAGTTTGAGGGTAGACAAAACTAGGTGTTTTGGGTCGTCTAGGACTCTCTTAACTCACACCATCTGGAGCTAACATGTACAATATGTCAAATTAACTTGCTCAATTTTCTTTTCTCATCGTTTTCAATGCCCTTTTGGAACACCATTACTGAGAAGCTACAGTTGGCATTTACAGTATAAAATCTAATTTTGGAAGGTTGGTATTGCAATACCCTAAATATCACAAAATTCAAAACCATACAGTTGTCTCATCATGCTAAAAGGAAAATGAGTTTGTGGAATAGCCGTTTTTGGTTGCAAATGAAAAAAGTGGGGTTACCTTCAGAATGGTTTTAATGGTTGATTTATAGTTGAATATAAGCAATGAATACAAAACAACTTCTATCTATAATTAAAAAATTTGGTGAAATGAATTGCTGACTAAAAATTAACAATTTAATATATTTGTATATTGTCTTTCATATATTAAAGGTGACAGCTATAAGAAAAAAAACCCTTATCCAATGTAATAATCTTATTAGAGCAGAGACTTCTATTGAAATAAAATAAAACAATGTAAGTGATTTAAAGTAATTTAGAAATCTTCTGTCCTTAATATTTTCAAGTTCAGTACAAATCAAACCTATAACTAAGGAAAATGAGTAAGAAATGACAGTAGAATGCTTATTGGTATGGAATAACCAATCTATCTTTTAAATGAATCATTCAGAGACTACATTTCAAATGAAAAAATGTAAATTGATATAGGCATCACAAACAAACTCCTAGAAAACAATTAAGTCTGAGGACAACAGTATTTCCACCACTTGCTATGATAACTATCATTTGTTCCTCAACATGTAAAATAAGCAGTTGTGGTTTTGTCTATTTTCCTTTATATGCAGACATAAATAATGGAGAAAACAAGTATGTCTTTTCCTTGTCTCTATGGACTGTCCCTGGCTGACCAAAGAATCATTTAGAATACTGTTTCCAAACTCACTGAAAAATGTACTTTAATCATTTGGTGAAAAAGGAGACGTAGGTTGGGAATAACTTTTAACCATAAATAAGAACTATATGTAAGCAAGGTTGGATTCTAAAACCACCTTATGAAACAATACACTTAAAAAAATGAATTCACTTTATGTTAGAAATTGAGCTAATGCCTACTTGAAAATATTATATTAAAAACTCTCAGGATTGAGTTTATAATATGTGCATTCACAAAACATATTTTTTATGGACACAGAAAACAATCAAATTCCCTTGTTTTTTTTAAAAAAAAAATTAAACAAAATTAAACTGTGCCCCCATGATCTATGTGCTCTGCACTCTAATGTTCCGCATGTCTCTCAGCAGCACTGGTCTGTAGTTTTGCTCCAAAATTTCCATGTATTCCAAGTAATCACTCACTCGAAACCCATGCAGTGCTTCTTCCTGTCAAAAAACAGAAAGATCATTTGCTTTAATTCTAAATTAATGAATTTGAAATAGTTTATGTATTTTTTTTTCAGTTATAGATGAGGGTTTTATGTTGCTAATAAATGTGCTCATTATTATTTATTTAGTAGGCTTTGCATGTATATAGTGGGAAGAAACCATGTTCCATTAAACAAGGTTGTCTAATTATTCTCAAAACCAAAATACTGTACAGATACCAAAAAGCAAAATAAACCCTTACAAAATGAAATCTTTCTAATTTGTTAGATATAATAAAGTTTCAATTATAGAATGATTGTTCACGTTTGTAATTAGTACAGATCCTAAAGCTTATCCATCAAAAGATACTATAATATTGCAAGAAATATCTAGTCTTCAGCTATTGTTCATAAAACCTCTAACCATCTACAATTCATAATGTTGGTACTATGCATGTTTGTACTAATTTGGAATTTAATGGTAAGTGTCCCAAATGAGGCACTGGAGCATAAAAACAGTAGGAACATTTGTTAGAATTTTAGAGACTTATAGAGAATTTTATGACTATTCCTTTCACACCTTCAATACTATCTATGCAGTACCTAGATTCAAGGTTAAAAAAAAGAAAAAAAGTTCTGCAGAAAAAAAATTATCCTTGGTTCAATGTAATAAGTATTTATTATGTTAGGAGTTTTGGAGATTATAAATAAAAAAAAAAAAAAAGGACAATTCATGCCTTTCAGGATTTTATAGTTTAAAGGCAAGAATTACTAACATAAAAAACAAAAGCAACTCAAAAGAATAAAAAATAATACATATCATGTACCAGATAATTGTGTTAGAGACAATCCATTTATAGATAAAACAATGCAGGGAGCTAGGAAAACATCGCATAATTCTCAATAAGATAAGATATTTTTAAAACACCTCAGGTGTGACTGGTCACTTACGGGTTAGTAATAGTTCACAGATTCCAAATAACATGTGAGTTCTTTATACTTATTTTGCCATTCATTATCTACAATCTGGGTAATCTGGGAGCAACCTTAGTCGGTACATGTTTTGGTTTCTTCCCGTTGCCACTGAGTCAACTCCAACTCATGGCAACCCGATGTGGGTCAGAACAGAACTGTGCTATATAGGGTTTTCAATGGCTGATTTTCCAAAAGTGGATCAGGAGGACTTTCTTCCACGGTGCCTCTGGGTGGACTTGAGCCTCCAACCTTTTAGTTACAAGCTGAGTGCTTTAACCATTTGCACTACCCAGGGACTCCCTTGGTTTCCTAGTGCTGCTGTAACAAAAAATACTACAAGTGGGTGGCTTTAAAAAACAGATACTGTCTCACAGTTCTGGAGGCTAGAAGTCCAAATCAGGGTATCAGCTCTGTGAGAGGGTCCTTCTTTGTTAGTACTTATGGGCATTCCTTAGCTTGTATACAGATCCTTACATGGTCTCTTCCTCGTGTGTGTCTCTGTGTCTCTTTTGCTCTGTTCATAAGATACCACCCAGGAGGGATTGAGTTTAGGACTCATCATTCTCTAGGATGACCTCACTAACACAGCAAAAGAAAAACCTTATTTCCAAAAAGGTCAAATTCACAGGTACCATGAGTTAGGACTTCACCATATCTTTTAGGGGGACACAATTCAATCTATAACATCTAAAAAATTATTAATATTGATCTATAAGGCTGATATTATAGCTAAACAAAGAACCTTAAATTATATGCAAAACATTACACCATTAAGACTAGAGCTCATATCTTCCACATAAAATTTGAGTTCTACTCTTTCAAAATAACTGTGATGTTATTTCACGTATCCTTTCAATTGTTCATTCTCTTATTACATGTAAGTTTCTTGGTTATGCACTCATGATACACGGATGAATGAGACAAAGTTCTTACTCTAAAATGTTTACAGTTGTGGTTTATATCACATCCCCAGTTTTATGTATAACTGAATCAAATAAAAGATGTTCATCTTATGAATAGCAGAAATACTAGATCTTCATAAATTTCTGTCCTATCAAAAATACTTCATTTTTTCTTTGGGGAAAAAAGTAGAATTGAAGTAAGAGCAATCTTACTGTTCAAGAATTCACTTTCAACAGTTATTATTGGAATTACAGAACTACCATGAATTTATCCACTCCATTTAAATTAGGTGTGACTTGGCTTTGATCACCTCTTCACTAAAACTATAACTAAGTTGGAGAGGAATTATAGCAATGTATTATTCTAACCATGGAACAAAGACCCATGCTGGAAGAAGTGTTTTAGTACATATTCATGATTTTTAAAGGAATGCTTATTATTCATTAAATGTGAATTACAATAGATGACAGCATTTGAACAATAGTTTTAATAATTCTTTTCTGGGAAGAAACAAGCAAAATCTATTTTAACATCTTTTAATTGTTGTTCCACTTCAATTTAAAAATAAACACTACCTAGGGACAGCCATAGCTTTTACTTGGTTTAAATATATTTTTTCCTTAGAATATACTTTTTGAATTTATGGCTTCCATTTTGGACATTAATTTTTCAAAGAAAGGGAAAATAGCCTGATAAATATCTTGAAGAGGCACTATAAAGTGGTTATAAGGCTATTAAGGTCTTATTTCATGAGAGAAAAAAATTAAATATATACTTTTAAATGTATGTTTTTAAATGATGTACTTCATTATTTAAAATTCACAGGCAATTTTAGCTCTGAATAAAATTTCAAAATCTCTGAATTTCACTTTCTGGCTTCAAAGTGGAATATTTTTTTCATCTTATCCTAAATGTTCTCTAATGGCCTTTTTAGTGAATAACTTTTACTTGTTATTATGACCACTCAGACAGCCAGCTTATCATTCAAGTTATAACAGACCATTTCCTCAGAATACTGCTTTAGTATAATTTCATTTAAAGATCTAAGTATATTGCACTTTATAGAAAAACATATAATTATATAAAGTAACAACACTATTCCATTTTATAACAGTGTACTATTTGTTCAATAAAATATATTTTTTTAATAGGTTACTAATGGAGTGAGTGGTTTAAGCCTTGGTTAGGAAGTTCATTTTGAGCATAATACATTTTCTTTTTTGTAGCTAATGCCTTTCAACCAGTGTGTCTTCAATGATTTTCTCTCTTCATTAATTCTGGCTTTCAAATGTGAATAATAAAATAGCATTAAGTGTTACCATTGTAATTCATAGTGTTGTGCTTGTTCAAAACTCTATAATATGGTACTCAGCTTCCCTCTCTCTTTTATGTATAGAATTCCAGTTTCAAATACATATCCCTGGTTCTCTCTCTCTCTCTTTTTTCCTTCAACAAGCTTTACTGAACTTCTATTAATGTGTATCATATTATGATACAGAAGTCTGTGGGGATATATAGCTATAAAATCATAATCCTCGGCTTTCAAGATCTTACATTAGAGGACACAGGAATGGTGAAAAGGCAATCAGAAAAGCTACTGATAAAATATTTGTAGAAATACAGAGAGATTACTTGTGTCTGAGAAATCTATCTATCTTTCATCCATCCATCATCTACCAATATAGATATAGATAGATAAAAATATTAAATATACAATAAAATTGCCTCAATTTGTATGTTGGTATAGTATTTACTGCTTCTAAATGTTTTCGATATATTATCACATATAAGAAACATAATCTTGCTTGTGTAGAATCTCCAGTTTGCTTCTCTTTTATAGACAAACGAAATGAAGGTCATTTGATAAATTAAGGAAAAATATGTCTTCTCAGGCCACATCCCCTGTATCATAACTATTTTTAACTATAAATTATATATTTTGATAATCATTTATTATTACACGAGTAGTATTATTTGAGATTATTATTATGTATTATGGATAACATTGCAAAGAGTAAGAATTCCAGAACACTTAACTGTACTCATGTGGAACCTGTAAATAGACCAAGAGGTAGTGATTTGAACAGAACAAGGGGATGCTGTGTAGTTTAAAGTCAGGAAAGGTGTGCATCAAGACTGTATACTTTCACCATACTTATTCAATCTGTATGCTGAGCAACTAATCCGAGAAGCTGGACTGTATGAAGAAGAACGTGTCATCAGGATTGGAGGAAGACTCATTAACAACCTGTGATATGCAGATGACACAACCTTGCTTGCTGAAAGTGAAGAAGACTTGAAGCACTTACTGATAAAAATCAAAGACCACAGCCTTCAGGAAGAATTGCACCTCAATATAAAGAAAACAAAAATCCTCACGACTGGACCAATAAGCAACATCATGATAAACGAAGAAAAGAATGAAGTTGTCAAGGATTTCATTTTACTTAGATCTACAATCAATGCCCATGGAAGATGCAGTCAAGAAATCAAACGACTCATTGCATTGGGCAAATATACTGCAAAAGATCTCTTTAAAGTGTTAAAAAGCGAAGATGTCACTTTAAGGACTAAGGCGTGTCTGACCCCAGCCATGGTGTTTTCAATTGCCTCATATGCAAGTGAAAGCTGGACAATGAATAAGGAAGAGTGAAGAAGAATCTATGCTGTTGAATTATGGTGTTGGTGAAGAATACTGAATATACCACGGACTGTCAGAAGAACAAACAAATCTGTCTTGGAAGAAGTACAGACAGAATGCTCATTAGAGGCGAGGATGGCCAGACTTCATCTCACATACTTTGGACATGTTATCAGGAGGGACCAGCCCCTGGAGAAGGACATCATGCTTGGTAGAGTAGAGGGTCAGCGGAAAAGAGGAAGACCCTCATCAAGATGGACTGACACCAAGGCTGCAACAAATGGGCTCAAGCATTTAACAACAATTGTGAGGATGGCACAGGACTGGGCAGTGTTTCATTCTGTTGCACACAGGGTCGCTATGTGTTTGAACCAACCTGACAGCACCTAACAACAACAAGAAGAAGTGATGCCTTTGAATTATGGTGTTGGTGAAGAATACTGAATATTCCACAGACTGTCAAAAGAATGAACAAATCTGTCTTGGAAGAAGTACAGCCA